AAAAAAAAATATTCTTCAAAATATTATTATAATCTTAATTTTTTTTTTTTTTTTTTTTACTTAAGCAAGTATTTTCCTTGAATTTTATAATACGAAACTTTTATTACTTTTCTGAAGTATGAAATCTTCAAGCAATTTATAATTTAATGTTTCTCTTTTTTTCTCTACGAGCAAAATTTAAAATCTCCATTCCTTTCACGAGAGTACATACTCTCTATCTACGTAGCCGAATCTAAATTGAAATCATAATTCAAGCCACCCCTTGTGAGCCATTAGCAAAGGAGTAAAAAAAAAAGAAAATGTGTATATTAGTCTCTATATAATAAACTTTATAATTTTAACATAATTATGTATGCATGTTTAACGTTCATAGAGACGAATATTACGAATACCACGTTTCACAAGTGAGGCAAATTTAGATGGGATTGATTGATTGGAAAACTTATCTATCCGATAAATCGAAGTTCTGCGCTGGAAAGGTAGCGGTTTACTCGGCCACGAGAAAAAGGTAGAGAAGATTTAGGAATGGAGAATTAATTGGCACTCCGCTATAAGATTAGAAAATTTCTCTCACGGATTTACGTTTGTTCAATACTTTTTTTCATTGTAACGGTATCCTTCTATTTTAGTTTCAAAATTTATTTGAAACCTCTCTCAAATTTTCCCTCTGACGATTACGAGCCGTTAAAATTGAAAATCGAATTCGAGGATGAAAGAGTTTAATATAAATGTATGAAAAATAATTGTTGAAATTTTAAATCCTCTTTTTAAACGTTTATCAAACAAAATACGCGTATATAGGCACTAATCTATAATTGATCAACATTTCAATAGTTGAGAAATTTGTAAATTTTTTTTAAGAAGCGTTTAAATTTCAATTTTATAATTTTTTTTTTATAAATTAAATTCAACTCAAAGTTGAATAATTATTTCGTATTAAATAATTTGTCCATGATTTTTCATACGTTCCATGTCGTTCCACGTGATAAAAGTCGAATGTAGAAACTTTCTACTTTTTTTTTTTTTTTTTGCTGTCATATCTGGTTCGCAAAACTTTGTAAAACTATGTTAAAATTAATTTTAATGGCCACCCATGATGTATATATATGATAATAATAATATTCCTAATTTTAATTTTGACCATTTTTTTTATTCCTTTCAATCTTTGAGCAGTTTATGCAATACGTTTTTTTTCATTTTATTATATATAATTTTAATATAATTTTTATATAATTTTAATTTTATCGTCTTTGTTGAATTGTTACCGTTTATATCTGGCCTATATCCATCGAATAATTTATAGAATAGAAATGTCGAGGATATATTGTAGCAAACAGCTATAACTTCTTTTTTTTTAATAAGCATTTTTTCCTCAACATTTATTTCTTTCCATTCCATTTCCAATTCTCAAGGTCCAGTTTATCGTATCGTTTGTACAAATTCGAAACGTTTTCCAAGTTAATTTATAATAGTCTGCTATAATTTTTCTGTTACATCTGTCACGCAGATATTTTGCACGATTGCTTAAGGATATGACCTGAGAGTAACCAAATAGAATAGATTCGTAATTTTCAATTTGTAATACAAATTCACTCTTTCTAAATCATTGGATTCAGATTCAAATAGAATGAATAAAACTAGCAGATTTTTAATTTTAAATATAAATTTTTAAAAATTATATATTATTAAAAAAAGCTGTAATTTTGTTTCGTACTTTTCGTTTTTATTTATTTATCTTTATATTTTCTTTCAAATTCTATGATATGTTTTATTCTTCTATATATTTATATATTTTTTATATACAAATATAATTATAATCTTTTTCATATATTATGTTATATATATTTTTAAGAAAATAAGAATAAATTACAATTGAAAAGTAGTTTTAAAAATTTAATCGTTTACTAAAAATTAAAATTAAAAATTAAAATCTCCCCTATAACCATATCGAAAGCCTGGAGAAAAAATAATCCCATCCTTAATTAGCTCCTCTTCCTCTAATATCGAAATCGCTGTAGCCCGATGTTTTCGAGATTGGTGGCGTCTCGATGAATCGAGAGGAGAGGGCGTGGCAGGGAAGCGAAACTTCATTGTCTATTTTGACGAGGGAACCGGCGGTAGTGGAGCTATTTAAAATTTTAAAGAGCAACCGACTTTCGCTGTGCAAGTGCCATTTTAAGCTTCCGCTTTACTTTCCACGGAATTCCTCTCCCCTCCCTCCCCCCTCTTTCTTCCGCGAACCGAAAACCGTTATGCTACACTTCGAGAATTTTCCTCTGAATTTCTTCGAGGAAATTTCTCCCTTTTTTCTTTTTTTTTTTTTTTCTTTCCTTCCGTCTCAGAGAACAGGGAAATCTTACGAAGAATCGACGAGACTTTTTTCGCTGGACTGGGACAATAAAGACCCTTGTTTATCTTTTTTTTTTTTTATTTGGGTTTTATGTCGCATCAACAACATCTAAGGATTATTAGCGACATCTTAGAGTAAGTAGGAAGTGAATACATTACTTAATTTATCAATTTAGTGTCCTTTAAAAAGTCAAATAAGTTTTGTATCTTCTTGAATAAATTTTTTAGATTGTTTTTGAGTGTAGTTTTTAATTTGTTACGAAAAAATTTATATTTGGTTGATAGATATTCAATGGGCAATTATAGAATCACACTTCTCAAATTGAGGTTGTTTATCTTGTTTCTTCGTTTTCATCTCAAAGCACGACCAGGGAGAGATCATTGTCTCTTTTTTTAAAAGGAGAAATTCGTCGGATGACTAATAGTTATTGTAAGAAAATAATTCATTAAAATTATTAGAAGATATATTTTAACAAAATTTACTCCTCTTCTCTTCTTTTTCAGATATATATCCTTTATAATAATAATTCTTCTTTCGATACGAATATATTGTACGATAAATTACATTGTATATTTTAAAAATTATTCGTAATCAAAGATGAATTATTCTAGAAAATCAAGATATATTCTTTAGAATACGATTTATTGATTAATTTGTCTTGTTCTCTTGTTATTTGTATTGTTGATCGTGTTTATTTTACCCACGAATATACGATTCCTTTTTTTTTTTCTAAATTAAAATCAACCACGAAATGATTTATCGAGTTTTTTCCACCAGTGCCCTTATAACTTATCGACATGAACATTGACGTAAGTACGCACGCCTGACTCTGACGGATCGTACACGGTGTGAATGACGGTGAGATACTGGCAGGAGATCCGACAACCGACGAGAATTCTAGATTGGAAATTACACAGACGAGCTTATATCGGATTGGTCGGAAAGTAGTTTCGTTTTTTCACACGAGCGTCGCTAGTCCACCGTTTATCCAACCAACTTCACTCTAAACCGTGCTGTTCGGAAAGTAATTTCGTTTTGTCACGCGAGAGTTGCTAGTCGAATGTTTATCCAACCAACTTTACTCTAAACCGTGTTATTATATTTCGAGAGTTGACATTTCGTGGTTTATTTATATTGAAAGATTCGTTCGATTCTGTCTTCGGTTGTGTTTCTCGCGCGTGATAAACAAAGATGCGAGATCGAAAGGAATATTTTCAACACATTTTACTATTTTGTTATCGAGAAGGTAAAAATGCTGTTCAGACAAGAAAAAAGTTACGCAAAGTTTATGGAGAAAGTGTATGTAATGATAAGTTAGTGTCGAAACTGGTTTTCAAATTTCAACGTTAAAGACGCCCGTTATGGAAGACAGGTTGAAGCTGATGAAGACAAAATAAAGGTATTGATTGACAAATATCGACGAATAAGAACTCGATAAATAGCTATGAGATTAAATTTGTCGAATTCGATTGTTCATTCGAAACGACTCGATGTTTCATTGTCGTGAAAAAAAACGAAATTACTTTTCGAACAAGCCGATAAATATTAAAGAACGCGAAAGATTGCTCGAATCCGCAAATTGGTGAAATTTATTTAAATTTAAATTTTTTAATCGTTGTTATCGTATTTTCATTAATCGAAATCCCTTTTATCCCTTTAAATAAAAGAAAATTGATACGATGATATGTAAATTTTACATATCAGCTCTCTTGAAAGGGGAATTATTTGTATTTCGAGACAGACGTGATGACAGTTTGTTATTTAAAATTGTTTCGAAACGTGGCGTTCTACAATTTTATTGTCGAACGTCAAACCTTGGGATTTTTCCTCGAGAAGCCTCTCTTCTCGGATCGAAAATTCGCGAATTCAATTTATCCTCGCGTAAACGAAATCGATGCAAGCGAGTTTTCTTTTTTTTTTTATCATCTACGTATCTATACTAACTGCAGAAATATTTCGAGGGGGAATTTTCATGCGCGGGGTGAAAACGTATCGAGGATTCGTAAAAAGATATATCGAAGGTGGAAAATCCGCGTGTTCTTCTCGCTGCATTTTTGTTTTATGCATGAAAGCATCGGCGACCGCCTCGGATGACACGAGTTTCGCGTTGAAAGCCGTCGACGACTCGAAGAGAATCGAAAAGTTTTCGCGAATTTTCCATATTCTGTCGATAAACAATTTTCTTTTCCTTAATATTCCTTAATATTAAATTCTTTTTCATTCTAAAAATTGTAAGTAAGTTATATAATTAAATTAAATATTGACAACAATTAATTTATATTATATTTAAAAAGAATTCTTCTAAAATCTATCGAAATTTATTACCAACGAATTCATGCTTTATCATGTATGAAAAAATTTTTATTTCGCATTTTCTCGATCCACAAAATACCGAATGGAAAAAAAGAACGGTGTGAACAATACCAAAGCACGTAAAGCGAAACGGATAAAGAAATAAAATCGAGTTGGATGAGTAAAAAAAAAAAAAAATGAAGATCGATATAAAACGAATATGGAGGTAGAAATGGACACAGGTGCACGCGTGTTGATCGACGATATTAAGAAATCGAATCGATCGAATATTCGAGTCAAAATATTATCCTCATCGAGGATCTTACCAATGGCCAGAAACGTTTCACCAATTTTTGAAGAGAGAATCGTCGACAAGAAAAATTGAGAGCTTCTGAAAGCTATTTCGACACATATTATACGAGATTTGAGTCCAGATTCATATACCCATTACTAAAATTGCAACTAAAATTCTACTTTTCTCTAAATGGAGAAGTCTTTACAGTTGTGTATTTAATTTAAGCTGGAACAATTAACAAGTTGTGAATTTGGAGTCAAATTTTCGAGATTAATTTCGTCTATTATATATTTAAATTAAGTAGTATTAAATATAAATATTTCCCCAAATTTCCCCAAAGGCGCGAGGACAAAGTAATAAAAGTTTTCGAAAACTTTTAGTTGATAGAGGGTTCGCAATATATATACAAGTTTCGAGCAGCTGCGGTTGACGAATTTTCACTGTAAATCTGATGCGGGGACCCAACGGGTTCACGGATCGTCTATTATACGCGTAAGAACGTGAACTAACTTATTTACGTGCAGGCAATTGGCCATTAACTTTTAATTAAAACTAAAGTTAAAAATATCGAATAAAATTACTTGTTTAAATGCTAACGAATAATAAATATTAATTTATTCCTAACTGTTATAATTAATCCGCTTTTACAGCCTCGTATAAATTATTTGCGATTATTTAGATAACTTTATTATTAAATTTTTATCCATATATGACGTGCGCTATAAATATATACACACCAAAAAACTTTTAAATCAAACATATTCTCCCGGAATGTATAAATAAAGAGATTTCGTTTCGATAAAAGCACGTATCGCAAGAAAGAAAGCTTATCCAATAATCAGAAATGAATTTTAATATCCTGATCCTCGAGCAAGGAATACAAAATTTAATCTTGGACGTGCTGTTTACTCGTTGTCGAGAAGTGGACGATGGTACGAGCAACGTGAAAGAACTTTGTATTAACATTGCCAAATTTTAAAATAAACGACACAGTCAACCGCGACTTGTAAACTCTACTTAACCTATATTTTGCTCGGCATATTTTCACGTTGTCCTTTTATATCTCCTTTGCGTAATAAGTTCTTTTTCTTCTTAGTTTAACCGTTTTCTGAGAAGCAAACGATATTATCGAACGAATTTACAATATTATTCCTGTATAAGTTTAACCTTAAACGTCAGCTGAAGCGTATCGAAATATTAGATTAGCTTTCGAGAATTCTATCGACGAGAGGACCGTTCGATGCTTGCTTTCAAAAATTCAAGTCTGGAAATGAGAATCTTGAAAACGTGCCTCGAGGTAGACCGAAATTCACATCGAACGAAGATAAACCGAAAGTGGAAGCTGATTCACGAACGAACACTCGCGAAGTTGGACGCGTCTCCAACGAGACGGTTTTCACACATTTGAGTGCGCACGGGTGAAGCGAAAACAATTGGTAAAGTAGGTGGCGCGTCAATCGACGGAGTATCGAAAGTTGTGATGTTTGGAAATGCGCTCGTCGCGCAAAGCTTCGTTTTTGAACGGAATCGTAACACGTGACGAGGAACGGTATACCGCACGATAAAAATACGCGATCCGGACAACGGTTGGACGCCAATGAAAATCCTAAACGAGTGTCGAAAGCATCGTTACGACTGAAAAAACTCACGACGATTGAACGACGGCGCGTAAAAAGAACGATTCGTTGCTCTTTTTCGAATCGAGTAAATACCGTAACAGCGACATCCTACGGCCAAGAAATCGATTAAGAAATAACTCGCATTGGACGTGGACTTGTTTTTGTGCATCGCAAACCACTCTACCAAAAATTAGCCGAATCGAAACACGAAATCTTAACCCATTCATCATATTCGCCGGGCACTTCGGCGACCGAAATA